GAGAGACTTTGAGGAACACCAGCTCATCATTTTCTCACTTCCTCTTGTTTGTCCTCATGGAGTAGCGGTGGTCAAGCCGTGGCCCGTGGGTCTGAACCCATCCTGTCTGCACTGACTCACAGGACGGGGATCTCAGGCTCCACCTATCAGCACGTCACCTGATCTGATCGACCTGATGACACATAGGTCTCCATCCTTCAACGAAGACGCCTGTGGCACATGAGGCTCAAACTTTACCCAGAATGCACTTTGTGAAGTTCCCTGCAGTGAACGATTAGACACGGATAGTCAGCGGTGTCTTAGTTTCGTATCTCAGCGGTCTGCTGCTCTCGCTCTGTCTCCTCCCCTCTGTGGGCGCAGCGAGCAGCGAGCGCTCCACCCGCCCATCACGCTCTGCCTGAACAAGCTGACTCAAGTTTAAATACAGGAAACAGGAGTCAGCGTGTTTCTGTACACTGACAGGAAGTGACAGCTAGTCACAGGATCGAACCCTGACCCTCGCCATGGTAACCATCTCCAAACAAAGACTGCCACCGTCCATTTATCATTCAAACATCAGACAACCCGGGTCAGCTGACAGGAAGCTCAACTCCCAGCATGCACCTCTCTCTGGGAAAACCTTGCTTTAATGAAGTCTGCAGAGAAACAGAGCGCGTGCGCTTTGTTCTCAGTGGCATCGACGCCGCAATGACCATAAAGGAAGGAAAAGGGCGGGGCGTTTGTAAAGCAGGTGAGTCTGAGCGATGCGACTGGCTGACAGGACCGGTGAGGCTCATATACAACAGACAGACAGGTAGGCGGGGCGTTACCTGGACAGGTGGCGTGGATGTGACCAGGGATCCGTTGGGACTGTAGGAGAACACGGTGAAGTCTGCAGGCAGCAGCAGCCTGAAACAGGACAGTCATGTGACCAACTTCACTTTAACCCCGAACCCCCGACTGCAGGTGTGAGTCTGACACGTCACACCTGCACAGGAAACACCTTCACCTGCCTCACTCCCGCTGCAGCTCAGTCAGGTATTAAAAACAGAAACAGTGATGTTTTTATTAACAGTAAAATCTCTCAGCTGTGAAGCTGTTTGGTTCACGTCGTGTTTTCATCAGCTGGCGTTTCCATAAAAAGTTAGAATCACACACCAGGACATCCTGGATCGCCTGTCACAGACTTTGAAATGTGATTTTGTGACCATGAAGTAAAAACATGTCACCGCCCCTCATCAGGACTTACTCGTTTCTCTCCATATGGACGACACGATCGCTTCCATCCACGCTGATGATGTAGGACACCTGCACACACAAAAAGGTAACTTTGAAGTGTGACAGCTTGTAGAATAAAACATTGAGCATGTGTGAGTGACTGCAGGTGGAGAGCAGCCAATCAGAAAGCAGAACACCAAGAGGTCTCATTCCCTGCCGTCCTGTCGCCACGTTGGATTCACAGCCACGGAGCTCAGAGAGCGACGCGTCCTTCAAAGCTGGTTTGGTACATGAGCGCTGGGATTAGCGCTTCGATCCGCACGAGGAGCATGTTAGCTAACGGCGCTAACTAACAGCACAAACACGCTGACACTAGCGTCCAATATGTGGCAGACATACAGTCGCTCCCAGTAGCGGTTAACTTTGTACCCGTGATGTTTGCGGGCTCCACTTCCTGCTCCGTGTTGTGGGTTATTTCGGATCGAGGGATGAAAACGGAGCTCCTCCAGGTTTCATTTTCACCTCGTTTTAGCACAAACGGCTAAAACAGCCTGTGTTAAAGACGCACTCCATCTGCTGTGAACAAAGACTTCGTCGACTCGAGTCGCCCTGCTGACACAACTAACTCTGCCAGCTCGAGCACGGGCTGCCAAACATCTGCACTGACAGCACGCCATCGCCTCCATCACGCATCCCACTGCTCGCCGAGCAGGTCACCTGAGCCTCTGACTCACCTGGCTCTGTGTGTGTGTGTGTGTGTGTGTGTGTGACAGCAGAACTATAATTAGCGCACACAGACAGCTGGTGTGGACAGGAAGTCAGCGGTGGTCTCCATCGTCCAGCTGCCAGCAGCAGCTCATCCGTCCTCTAACACAGCAGGGGTCAGAGGTCGGGTAAATCTGTAAACATACCTTGGCATCGTCATGGAAACGGTTCAAGCTCAAACTCATTAAGCAGAGCTGCTGCTGGTTCTGGCTCGGTCAGCGTTCCCGTGGCGCCTCGCAGAGTCAGCCGACCTTGTTTTTGTAACGTTTGTGGAGCCAGGTATCTGATGACATCACCAGGTGTATGTACCTGTGCAGGCAGCGGGTATCCGTTCTCAGCTCCTCTGTGGGCCACGAACCCCGAGGCAGCCATCGGCGCCGAGAGCAGTGAGGTCATCACTGTGGCGCCCTGTTTTTGTCCGACGTGGCTCCACAGGTGAGCTCTTCCCCCGTCAGCTGTTTCCACAGGAAGTGGGCGAAGCTGACGAGTTTCAAAGAAAGTTCACGTTCAACAGTTTCACACAGTAAAACGTGGAAAAACGTGGTGATGCGAGCACGCTCGCATCACACGATCCCGGGAATGATCAGCTGTTTGTGACACAGCTGGAGGATAATCGGCGCCGAGCACAGCGACGCGTCAGCCACGAGTCTCTGCGAGCAGCGACACACACACAGACACACACACACAGACACACACACA